CGAGGCAGGCACGTCGGCCCCCCCACCCCCCTCCCCGCACACGCCCTCCTGGGACTCGCGGCGCTGGTGTGCCACAGGGGGAGCCCTTCCCGGCCTCCGCGTCAGAGGCAGAGCTGATTGCACAGGCGATGGCGCAGAACGGCCTGGGAAAATGGCGGGCCTCGGTCCCAGACTGGGCCTGGAGGCAAAGGCTGGCCTCATCGGCGGCCAAGGAGACTGTGAACGGGGGGCCAGAGTGCCGCTCTGGAGGGGAGGCGTCCCTGAGTCAGAACTGGGACGTGGATGCATCGTCTAGGCCCAGGTTTGGGCCTCCGATTCTGAAAGGCCTCTAAATACAAGACGAGGAGCGAATTATCTTTTGTCGTCGTCACTGGAAATACTCTCTGGGACCTTCTGGGCGTCGTTCCGGGCCCTCAGCCTGTCCTAATCCGGCCCTGGTGTCACTTTCAAAATTTGGGCCTTATATCGAAGCACACAGGCTGCACAGTGGGCTTTCAACCCACTTTTCACTTCACTTTAGCCACGGTTTGCAAGTGGATCTTGCCATTCCAGGCCGTGAAAGCCAGTTGCAGAGGGCACTGAAAGTGGACTGAAGGTGCACTGTGCAGAGTGTGTGAGACCACATCCTAATCTGCACTAACCACCAAGCGCAAGAAAATGGGGTCCTGTTCTGTCACCCGCCTTGGAGGGGCCCCCCCATCTCCAAGGGGGACCGAGGTAGTTACCCCGGAGCCATTCCTCTGGCCTCCAGGCTGCCCGGGGAGGGGGGCCCGGGGTCTCACCTGTCACCATAGCCAGGGCAGCGATGCAGGAGAAGGCGGAGATGTCGATGTTCATGTTCTGCAGGTTGGACGAGAACTCCACGATGGAGTCGATCCACTCGCCGAAGCCGCGGACGCACTGCAGCCGGTGGAGGACCACGCCGTTGCAGAAGATGAGCTTGCCTTCCACCGGGTTGGACCTGCCGCCCCGACGGAGGGGGAAGCAAACATGCCGTTAATGGCCCAGCCGACCTCGCCCGGCTCCCGCGGCCTCCCCCGGCCCAGCCTGCCTACCTGTAGGCCAGCCGCAGGACGAAGAGCTCCAGGAAAGCCGACTCGAAGAGCAGGTCCTGGTCCGGCTTGGGGAGGTCGGCGAAGCCGGGGATCTTCTCCGCCCAGCCCCGGATGATCTCCATGGAGCCGGTCAAGAGGTCGTAGAACTGCTGGATGTGCTGCGTGTCGTCGCCGGTCATCGGGTAGTCCGGGGTGGCCTGGAACTGGAGGGCGGCCGCGGGGACCCGGGGGGAGAGGGGAGGAGGACGGAGGGGGGAGGGAGAGAGAGAGAGAGAAACCCCCGGCCATTTAATGAGGTTCTCTAAAACCCATCGCCCGTGAAATTGCCAAGCCCGCTGCCGAGGAGGGGAGCCAGGCTTTGATAACAATTAAGCCCTCGCTCTGACCAGTAAGGAAATGAGATGTGCCAGGGCAATTAATTCAATTAGGAGGGGTCGGCTGATAGGAGGGGGGGGGGGAAGAGATAGAGAAACCGGCGCGGAGGACCGCCACGGTCTAAGCAGCCCCTCGCCTTCCCGGCAAGGATCGGGAACTTGGGGTGGCGTGGAATGCACTACGGCCAGCCGTC